TGAGGGGGTCGACTTCTTCCTGACCTTCTCCCCCACCCCGAAGATGACTACTCTTCGGGTGCTACTGCACGTTGCAGCACACCGCGACTACGAGCTGCACTCCCTCGACTTCTCGACAGCCTTTCTGCAGGGCAGCCTTCACGAGGCTATCTGGTTGCGCCGCCCACGTGGCTTCACTGGGTCGTTTCCTGAGGGTACCCAGTGGAGTCTTCGGCGACCAGTCTATGGCCTGCGACAGGCGCCCCGTGAGTGGCACGACACACTGAGGACTACACTTGCGGCTCTCGGCTTCGCTCCCTCGGCTGCTGACAATTCGCTGTTTCTGCGCACAGACAACTCTCTGCCGCCGTTCCACGTTCTCGTGTACGCCGACGACTTGGTTTTTGTTACTGCTGACACTGAGGCACTGGCCTTAGTGAAGGCGGAGGTGCAGGAGAGACACACCTGCACTGACCTAGGTGAGTTGCGGAGCTATATTGGCTTGCAAATCACCCGGGACAGAGCACGCTGCACCATCACCCTCACTCAGTCACACATGGTGCACCAGGTCCTTCAGCGTTTCGACTTCTCGTGGTCCTCGCCACGGCCCACTCCTCTGTCTACAGGCCACTCGCTCTCAGCTCCACCTTCGGACGAGTCCGTAGAGCCGAGTGGTCCGTACCCAGAGCTTGTGGGTTGCCTCATGTACCTGATGACGTGCACAAGACCTGACCTCGCGTACCCTCTCAGCCTCCTCGCTCGCTACGTGGCTCCCTGTAGACACCGAAAGGTGCACTGGGATGCTGCAAAGAGGGTACTGCGTTAATTGTGCAGTACATCAGGCAAGGGGCTTGTGCTTGGAGGACAAGGTTCAGTTGTTCTCACCGGCCACTCTGACACTTCTTGGGCTGACGACCAGACGACTCACCTGTCTACAGGCCACTCACCTGTCCCAACTTCAGCCTAGGCGCTGGTTCTGTCTCGTGGAGGTCCACTCGCTCGTCTTCTGTACTTAGTTCCAGCTGTGAGGCCGAGATCTACGCTGGGACTATGGCTGCACAGGAGCTCCGCTGGCTGACCTACCTGCTAACCGACTTGGGTGAGCGGCCTCGTTCTCCTCCAGTTTTGTATGTCGACAACACGGCCATGATTGCCTTGTGTCAGGACCAGAGAATGGAGCACAGAACGAAGCACATTGCTCTCCGTTACTTCCTCACGCAAGAGCTGCACCAGCGTGGTCAGCTTCGTCTTGCTTACGAGGCCACACAGGCCAACACTGCTGATGTCTTCACCAAGGCCTTTGGGTCTAGTGATCTTCAGCGTTTCTGCACTGCTTTTGGGCTTGTGCTCACTCTGCCTCACTTGCTTGTCTCTTGATCTTGTCTTGCCCCTGTTGTACACTGATATATATGAGTATACCTGCATGTTTACACTTGGTAGGTTGTGATCAGTGTACTGCTCTTGCTATTATAAGCTCTGCATGTGAACTGGAATTGTGGCCGCTTGCTTGTGCTCGAAATGCGTGGTGATCTTGAGATCCACCCTGAGCTTTGTTTTGCTTTGCTTCTTCTCTTGACTGGTCTTGTGACCCTTGCTTGCTCTGGCTATCCCCCACTTCGCCTATGTGGCTGTGTCAAAACGTATATGCTTAGTTGTATCTAGGCTGTATTGGGGCTAGCTTCAGGGGGTACAGAAATCATATCGACATTCTCCTTGTACCCCCTCCCTTGACCTAATCAATCATTCCCGGTTTACATAGTTCTCACACTACATGTTTGTCGTGGTCGTTTTGATGCATCTCACTCAGGCTATGGGGGTGTGTCAAAGTTATATTGCATATGTTAGTTTAGCCTGTAGTGACTTGCCCTTTAGGGGTACAACATTTCTCTCGATACCTATCATGTACCCCTTCCATTCCTTAGTCACTCATTCCTGTCCTACTATTCGAACAGGGGAAACCGGTGGCAAGAAGGGGGCAACCGAGCGCGGGTAGGGGGAACCCGATGGCAAGCAGGGGGAAACCGATCACAAGCAGGGGGGAACCCGATGGCAAGCAGGGGGAAACCGATGACAAGCAGGGGGGAACCGATCACAAGCAGGGGGGAACCGATCACAAGCAGGGGGGAACCGATCACAAGCAGGGGGGAACCGATCACAAGCAGGGGGGAACCGATGGCAAGCAGGGGGAACCGATGGCAAGCAGGGGGGAACCGATGGCAAGCAGGGGGGAACCAAACGCAGGTAGGGGAAACCGGTGGCATGCGTAGCCTGTTCGAAGCTGGTAGCCAGGCCTTCTTGCAGGCAGCTACAACACACACCCATGACTCTCTGGAACTGCCTGCTGAGGTGAGAACAAGAGCCCGGTCCTTTTTAGACACCACGCGCAGCGCGAAAACCCTTTTCAGCTGGATTTGATGAAGCTTACTGAGCTGATATTCTAGCCATTGATACCTCTGCACAATCTCCTACTTTCCTTAGCTGCCTTCCCTCCACACAGACTACGGTATGTGTCACACTCCTTCCTCAGCAAGGCAAGGCTGACAGTACCCTTGCTGGCGCGTGTTGCTGCTCCGGGCTTGGTGAGGCTGGAATTGTGACGGAGCGATGCAGCATGCACCGCAGCCTGTTCGAAGCTGGTACCCTTGGCCTTCTCGCAGGCAGCCACAACACACAACCAGTACTCCCTGGAACTGCTGGTTGAGGTTAGAACAAGAGCCCGGTCCTTTAGGACACGACGTCCAGTATGCACCGCAGCCAGTTCGAAGCTGCAGGCAGCTACAACACACACCCAGTAGTCCCTGGAACTGCTGGTTGAGGTTAGAACAAGAGCCCGGTCCTTTAGGACACGGCGTGCAGCATGCACCGCAGCCTGTTGAAAGCTGGTACCCTGGGCCTTTGCGCAGGCAGCTACCGTTCAACACGCACCCAGTACTCCCTGGAACTGCTGGTTGAGGTTAGAACAAGAGCCCGGTCCTTTAGGACACGGCGTGCAGCATGCACCGCAGCCTGTTGAAAGCTGGTACCCTGGGCCTTTGCGCAGGCAGCTACCGTTCAACACGCACCCAGTACTCCCTGGAACTGCTGGTTGAGGTTAGAACAAGAGCCCTGTCCTTTAGGACACGGCGTGCAGCATGCACCGCAGCCTGTTGAAAGCTGGTACCCTGGGCCTTCTCGCAGGCAGCTACCGTGCAACACACACCCAGTACTCCCTGGAACTGCCTGCTGAGGTGAGAACAAGAGCCTGGTCCTTTTTAGACACCACGCGCAGCGCGAAAACCCTCTTCAGCTGGATTTGATGAAGCTTACTGAGCTGATATTCTAGCCATTGATACCTCTGCACAATCTCCTACTTTCCTTAGCTGCCTTCCTTCCACACAGACTACGGTATGTGTCACACTCCTTCCTCAGCAAGGCAAGGCTGACAGTACCCTTGCTGGCGCGTGTTGCTGCTCCGGGCTTGGTGAGGCTAGACTTGTGACGGAGCGATGCAGCATGCACCGCAGCCTGTTCAAAGCTGGTACCCTGGGCCTTCTCGCAGGCAGCTGCAACGCACAACCAGTACTCCCTGGAACTGTCGGTTGAAGTGAGAACAAGAGCCTGGTCCTTTTAAGACACCACGCGCAGCGCGGAAACCTTTTCCAGCTATATTTTGTGAAGCTTAGTGACCAGGCCCCTAGATTCGTTTTGAGGTAGTCTGACGCCTCAGAGTACACCCCTCTTCCTAGTCTGGCTGTCAGAGTTACCTATTTTTTCTAGTCTGAAAATTCAGACAAGCACAACTTTTTTTGTCTGAACTGTCAGAGTTACTTCAAATTTTAAGATGTTCATGCAGTTTCATAACAGCATAGTTATAATAGCATTGAAGCTGATTACAGCCTACCAAGGCATCAGGCAACGTGCTCGTGCATCGCCACTGCTCATGTCGGCGACGTTCTGGTGTTTTTGTCACGTGCAGCGCATGGTTGTTTCTGCTGATCTCATTTCGTTTTGTCGTGTGTGTGATTACCGTTCTGTACCCATTTTCTCGCCTGTGTGCCAATTTTGTCAATTTTGGATTTGCGTTTCTAGCGATGCGATCGTTCACCCGATCTCTATCAGGTGGGCCAAGTGCCACGCAGCTGAGCTGTCAGCAGGCAGAAACTGTTGCTTGGCGTGGCGTGTGAGCATCAGGTAGTGCCACACGAAACATTCACTACGAATCAGGACCTTCGCAATTTCACAGGAGTGCGTGCTGCAGATGGTTTTACAGCGAATCAGCATCAGCGAATCAGCGAATCAGAATCAGCGAATCAGCGAGTGTATTCGGATGTCCCAGCTGTTGAAGTGTGCGTTGCTCACGTCCTGGCACTCCACTGCCATCTCGGAAGTGGGCATGTTGAAAGGAAACTTTCAGGAAACTTCGCTTCGATAAGCGCGCAGAGTGTACCCCCGATACAAGTCTGAGGCTCAGCCTACACTTCAAAAATTAGGCTGAAATTTCAGACAACTCATAGAAAAAACCTCTGAAAGATCAGACAAGGTACATAAAAAAATTCTTAGACTTCAGACTAGGTACAAGAAAAAAGTCTGAACGGACTCTGAATCAGACTTTAAAGTCTGATATCTAGGGCACTGTTAGTGACATGAGACCAAGTTCCCTTCATTTTTTAAGACCAAACACCCATCTTAGAGTCAAAGACCCCCCTCAGGAGGGGTATATACACCCCCTAAGCACTATACAGGGGATTAGGGTACCGTACATCGTTGGTATCTTCTGACCTTTAGAAGGATCCGTGAAACTTAATGTGCATGCTGTACACATAAAGGCATCTAGACCAGTAGAGATACCCTTAAGCTACATTTACCCCAGAAGAGTTAACCAATAGTGGGGACAATACGAACAATGTTCTCCGTATCGACGAAAATGCGAACGCGGTTTATGCGATAATCCTTCGTGACGGGACGACCATACGGGATAACTTTCACGTCCCAGTTACACTCTGGCATCGACGTCAGGATGTAATTGCGAGCCTTTTCGCCCGTCATGCCAACCACCTCTGGCCAAGAGGTCTTGCTGCCATGGGTAAGAAACGGGCATGGGTGAAAAACGGGAGGATAGGGCGAAGTATGGTTTTTGCAGGGAACTGTACCGAGAAGGGAAGACACCTTATGGAAGGCAAAAAAGTGGGAATGCGTTGGGAAGGGAGGAGAAAAGGTTTGATGGATTTGTGAACGAATGGTTAGCAGCAAGAGAGAGGAGTACCTCAGGGGGAGAGGAGAGGGGAGACGGAAGAGAGAGGAGATGGGGGAAGAGGTGGGGAGAGGGTGAGAAAGGGAGGGGAGGAGGGGAGAGGATGGAGGTGATAAGAAGGAAAAAGGAGTGAAGATTAGGGAAGCAGGGGGAAGAGGAGAGGGGAGAGGACGCAAGCGAGTTGGAGATGGGGGGAGAGGAGGGGAGGGGGTGACAGAGGGGGAGAGGCGGGGAAAGGAAGGAGGTGAGAATTGAAAAGGGGACGGAAGATTGGGGTAGGAGGGGACACGAAAGAAGAGGAGGAGATAGTGGGGAGGTTCGGAAAGAGGCTTGGGAGTAGACAGTAACAGGGATGGGAAGGTAGGGCTGGGAATATAGGCTGCAATGCGATATATTCACAAATCTAAGACACATACTGCATGTAAAGAAAAAAAAAAAACGAAAAAAAAACAGCTTTCTAACAGTTCATGCAACCCACCTGCTACAGGTCTCCTCAGCAATTTGCTTCGGTCGACGCGGCTTATTGGCGCTGCTGCCGCCGCCATTCTTGTTCGGCTGCGCACCACCGTTCTTCTGATTATTCGGCACATCTCCATTCTTCGCGTTTCCATTCGCCGGTTTCGGCGAAGTTCCCCCCGCTGCTGCGCCGTTCCCCCTCTTTGGTCCCCCAGGTGCAGTGCCGTTCCCCTTCTTCGGTCCCCCTGCAGCAGTGCCGTTCCCCCGATGGTGCCCCTTGTTCGGATGCCCGCCCTTCGTTCGGTTCCCCGCCGCTGCCGTCCCGTTCCCCCCATGGCGCGGGTGGCGGGGTGGCGCGGTGGTGTTTACCCCCTTGGCCTGTTGAGTCTCCCCCCTAGGCGGAAGAGTGCGTGACGAGGCGAAGAGCGGAATCAGTGCGACAGAGACGAGGAGGAGGAGCAGGAGGAGAGAGGGACGCGGAATCTTCATGGAGATTTCACCGATTGAGCGTTTTGAGAACGGTACGGTCAGTGTCTTAAGCGCCCTTGCTGCTTGAGATCTCGTGTGCGAAGACCTGAGGGGAATGGAGGGGAAGTAGCATGTGTGTGAGGGGCGTAAGTGAACCAGCCGAGCCGTTCCCCCCATGGCGCGGGTGGCGGGGAGGCGCGGTGGTGTTTACCCCCCTGGCCTGTTGAATCTCCACTCTAGGCGGAAGCGTGCGCGAGGATGCGAGGAGCGGAATCAGCGAGACGGAGAGGAGGAGGAGGAGAAGGAGGAGAGAGGGACGCGGAATCTTCATGGTAACTCTACCAATCGAGCGTTTTGATAACGGTATGGTGAATAAGTTGAGCGCCCTGCTTGGGATCTCGTGCGCGAAGACCTGAGGGGGAAGGAGGGGATGTAGCATGTGGGTGGGTGAGCCAGCCGAGCCGCTGTGACTCTCATCCACGGCTAGCCGAGCCTCTGATACTCTCAGCCTCGGCTAACCGAGCCTCTGTGACTCTCAGCCTCGGCTAACCGAGCCTCTGTTACTCTCAGCCTCGGCTAGCCGAGCCTCTGTTACTCTCAGCCTCGGCTAGCCGAGCCTCTGTTACTCTCAGCCTCGGCTAGCTAAGATTAGGGGACTCTGTGCCTCGGCTCTCAGCCTCGGCCAGCCGAGCCTCTGTGGCTCTCAGCCTCGGCTAGCCGAGCCTCTGTGGCTCTCAGCCTCGGCCAGCTGAGATCATGGGACTCTGAGCCTTGGATTAGCCGAGCCTCTATGGCTCTCAGCCTCGACTAGCCGAGATTATGGGACTTTGAGCCTTGGATAGCCGCCGCGACGAGGATTGGAGGAAAATGTGAAGAGGATGGGAGAAGGATGGGAAAAGGATGGGAGGAGGATGAGACGAGGTTGTGACATCGATCGATTAGGCATGGGATGACGATGCGACGAGGATGGTACGAAGGAGGAAGCGAGGTGTAGGGGTGAGGGGGGGGGAGAGGCAAAGAGGCGGAAGTAGCTGTCAGTCCTGACTCCACATGGAACGCTGTACCTACGCTAAGAGGTATGAAACAGCTTAGCTGCTTTTAGCGTAGACCCAACGTCGTACTAGTTCTCAGTACCTGTGACAGAATATCGTAGTAACGCTCGGATGCGAGTCGCCGACGCAAAGGGGACGGCGGAACGCGACGCAATGCTGCTGCTTCTGCTGCGAAATTGTCCTGGCGCGGGGAAAGGGGAAATGGTGAGAGGGGAAGGGTGGGGGAGGGGGGGGGGGGGAAGTAGAATCAACTTCTGCTCCTGCTCAGACATGTTTTGGGGGAGGTTGGAGGGAGATTGGAGGGATGTCGGGAGCATTGACGGGAGCATGCCGAGGTCGTCTCAGAGTTACGAGATCGTCTTGCGCCAGTATTTTTCGACGCGGGCCAAGCTTTCAAGACGGAGGCTGGGATTGATAGGAACAGATTCAGTAATCTGCCTAGACGACAGACAATAGCTACAGAGACTGCGAGAAGAAGAGGGGGGAAGGAACGAGGTTTGGAGCCGTACACTGTGCGAAGCGTCGGTGATGAAGAGCGGAGAGGAACGAGATCTGCTGGCAATGCGGGAAGAATCGATCCAGAGCCGCCTAAAACGCTGATTCTAAGCCTAATTGTTTCGGACGCTGATGCTCAAATGGTTGATGACTTGAGATGCCAGCGCAAAAGCTCTATAAGTACGATTATCGAAACGAAAGGAGTCGTATGGCGCACGGAAACGCAAGAGCACCGACCATAAACACGGGCGACATGTAAGAATTTCGGACTGTTTAACTCCCAAGAAGCTGCTACGAAACTGGGTAAAATGCTGTGTACGAATCGCATGGAGAATTAGTGCTCTAAAACGTCATCGCACGCCTTCTGAAGCTTGCGGGTGATTTTGCCCCAGTTCGACCTCTTTCCCCATTCACCCATGTCGTCGGGATTGATTGGGACGTGAGGTTCCCGCCTAATTTGGCGCACCTCCCAAAGGCGCGCCGCGCATGAGCGCTTCCAGGGTGAGCCCGATCTGGAAAGAAACTGTGCCTGTGAAAACAGCTGAACCGTCCGATCGAAATCTCATCCTGGGGACGGTGACATTTGCGCGGCGCCCCAGTTTTGGAGGATAGCCGTCACAAGAACCCGCTTACGTCATTCTCAACAGAATTGAGAACCCGCTTACTGTAAACTGCGATATTGTCGGTCAGCAAACACGTCGCCCGAGTCTCGACTCTCGAGTTGAGAAAAAAAGCACCTTGCCACTTGAGGGTGCGAACCAGGCGATTTGGACGTGAGCCGAACGACCCTTTTCCCGCCAACAAACATAGCTCGCTAGGGCAGCAGAAAAACGAAAATAACAAATATGACTGGGTCCAATTCCTGTCTAGGGAAAGAATTGCTTCGTCGTAACAAGCAACTGAGAGTCAACGGGGTCAGCCGCAAGCGATCTGACACTTCTCGAGAAATACCCCCCAATGGTTACCGCGATAAACAAACCGAGAAAAAATAATACAGAAGTTCCTCCATAAGAAGCACTTGCAACGGTATTAGTAAATTAAAATAAAGCTAGAGTACACATTCAAAGCATGCGAATTATAATCGCTCATGCAGAAAACAGAGATAATACCTATCGCTAACGTCAGAATCCAGTAATTACTGATCACGCGATAGACTTGCAGAAATATGTGACAATCAGTGATCAAACAGTAACGCAATGCATACCTCTTAAACGTTTTGTGACGTCCCACATTATTACCCTTTGTCCACATCCTTTGACGTATGTGGAGGTTCATGCATACTGGTTGGTATCTGGCCCAAATACGCTTACGTAATAAATACAGCAAACCACCTGTTGTGCACATTGTACACGAGATAATGCTCCTTCAGCTGTTGCTACGCCCTCTTCTGCTGTTGTTGATGTTCCGAAACATCCCTCGTGCTGTTCCTTTCATTTGAATCGCTCCCTCTTGCCTTCAGTTCCCCTCCTTCCTGTTCCTCCCCTCTCTGACCACCACGTCATCCAGTGCAGAGCGAACGCCTGCATCAAGCCAAGGGGATTGCGAGAAGGTAAAGACGGGAGTGCGGGGACTGAGAGGTGAGTGAAACGCGGATAGCTCCTGCCACCTGACGCCCCCTCATCCCACCTCTTCCCCCTGCTATCTGTGAGGGGAAGAGTTGGGGAAAGCACCGAAAGGGAATAGAGGAGGTAGTACGGGTATGTAAGGAGCTGAAAAAGAGGAGGGGTGGAGAAGGAGGGAGGGATATGCGAGTGAGAGCAGACGTTCAGCTCTTATCCCTCGCCAGTGAGTTGAGAGCGGTGGAATTATCCATGATTCTCTTGCCAATGGGTGGAGAGCGGTCAATTTGTCCAGAATTCCCTTGCCAATGATAGAAAACGTTCTGGCCACAACCGCCATCCTTGCCGGTGCTGGTTATCGGTGTCGTAGGACAGGGCGAGCACGTGAGCATGGTTCATGAATCGAGCTGCCACGTGGCAGCTCATCACTGGCTACTGCTGCTGCTGCTGCTGCTGCTGCTGCTGCTGCTGCTGCTGTTGCTGCTGCTGTTGGTGCTGTTGCTGCCTCTGCTGCTGCTGCTGCTGCTGCTGCTGCTGCTGCTGTTGCTGCCTCTTCTGCTGCTGCTGCTGCTGCTGTAGTATGTCCCCTGTGGCTCCTACCACTCCCAACCCTCTTGTTCGTTCGCAACGAAACCTTCTGCGTTGTTGAATGCTGAGAGCTGGGGTGGGGACGTGGGTATGCATGGAAGGGGAGAGGAGGGGATTTCGGAGTTATCTGTCTGGGGCTTTCGAAACAGTGCTCATAAGTCAGCAGGGTGTTGCGTTATTACTGCTTGCACTGCAGCAAGACGCAATATCACGCCAGCTAAGGTGAGTTGGATAAAATTCTGGGAGTCTAAACTATTTTAACTTTGAGGGTGTACACTCTGACCGTATCTGCATTTCGGACCTAGTAGTTGGGAGTGTTTCGAGGAAGTTGGTAGTGCAAGTTCGAGATGAGAGGACCATGAATGATCAGCTTGAAGGCGGTGGAAGGGAGTTAGCAGGTGGGCCCACACCAGCGACTCGGGAAAAGCGCAATCCCTCACAATTCAACTCGCCATGCGCGCAGGAACCAAGGGTGATGGGGTGAAGAGGACAGGAAGTAGATCTAGCTCCGCTCGCAGATTTCCCGTGCTTTTTTCCTGTTTGTTTCTCGTATACTGTAATTAAAGCTTTGTTTCCGTGAGCTCAGTGAATTGCATCAGATCCACAGGCTTGTTACAAGGGAGCTTGTCTGCACAAATAACAAGGGTTCGCAAGGCAGGCCAACTGTAAGGGAGGAGAAACACAGAAGGTCGGGACGGCCATGAGAGGAAGGTGAGACGAGTAAGGCCAAACCGGAGGATAGGAGACGAAGGTGAGAGTTGGGAGGGAGCGGGTAAGACGCGACAAGGGCAGGGCGCATGTCCCAGTTACCAATGTTAAAACAGTGAGCTGGAAGTGGGGACACGGGTAAGCAGGGAGGGAGGAGTGGAAGTGAGCATTTTCAATGGTCATCAGACAGCAAAGCTGGGCGCATGTCCGACTTACCACTGTTAAATCAGTGAGTTGGGAATGGGGACACCAGTAAGCAGGGAGAGAGTAGTGGAAGTGAGCAGTGTGAATTGTCACCAGTCAGCAGGGCAGAGCGAGTGTGCAGGTAAAGCTGCTAAGGCAGTGAGTTGGGGGTGGGGTGGGGACATGGGTAAGCAGGGAGGGAGGAGTGGGAGCGAGCAGTGGGAAAAGTCATCAGTCAGCAAGGCGGAGCAAGTGTGCAGGTACAGCTGCTAAGGCAGTGAGCTGGGGGGGGGGGGGGTGGGGGCATGTGACACGGGTAAGCAGGGAGGGGGAGGAGGGTCAGAGAGGGGGGAGGAGGTGGAAGTTCCCACATGACTCCCTTGCACAACAACACCGCACTCTTCCACTCACTCATACGAATACTTGCCGTCACTCAGTTACGACTGTAGGCGTATCGTATATGCAATGCATGTTGTAGTGTATAAAAAAAAAAATCAATTTATATTTAAAAAGAGCCCTGCCATCGCTCCCAGCTCGTGCCTCTCTCACCCCCCCCTCCTCCACACTTCCCCCGTCCCCTTCTCCCCCTTCTCTCCTCACCAGTAGGATATTCTTTCACACTCTGCTCCCCCGCACCACACACCCTTGCGCCCTCTCCACCCCATGTTTGCTGCCAAGGCGAGTAGAATTTCGGGCGGTAGCAGAGGAGTGGTGGCGGCAAATCAACCTTGGCGTTGACTTGAGGGGAAGAGCAGGAGGTGAGAAGAAGGGGTCTGGGGAAGGGGAGAAGGTGTGGATACATCGGAAGGGAACGGTGTGTGTGGGGGAGTGGGGAAGGGGGGTAGCAGGGGGGGAGAGAGGAAGAGGTGAGAAAGGAAGAGCTAGTCAAGCAAGTCAGTGGAAAAGGAAAGTGGTGAAGTCAATAAAGTCAATCGAAGAGAAGAGTCAAGTCAAGTCAATCAAGTCAAGCAAGTAACGCCAATCGCATCAAGCCAGTCAACAAAAGTTGTGCCAGAAAGTGGCAACGGCAACAAAAGTAACCCAAGTGGGCCATTTTTTCCTGGAATGCCGCGCACAAGGAAGTGAGTGCAGAAAAAGTGACAGAACGCAATCAAAGGACTGTATGAAAAGTCGTTATATCGAAAGCATGATTGCAGAAGGTGAGCACGTATGGGAAGTCGCTATACAAGGGGAAGGGCAAGCAACTGAACTCCCAGCGTGGCATTGCCTTCTGCCAGCGTGGCAAGCTTGCTATCCACGTCAGCGCTGACTAGGCGGTCCGCACTTGCTGCAATGGACCAATGGAGAAGCAGACACCACACGGGGGGGGGGGTGGGGGAAGAAGGGGTGGTCGGGGTGGAAGGGGTGGGGGGGAGGGGGGAGAACTTCCGAGCGTCTTTCGGGAAGACTCACAAAGGAGGAGGTGGCACGAAGAGGGGAGGAGGGGAAGGGAGGGGGGAGGAGGGGGTGGCTTATGAGGCGCCTCAAAAGGGATGGTGGGGAGGGGAGAACTTCCGAGACTTCGTTTGTGACGACTCAAAAAGGGGGATGGGGCACCAAGTGGTAGGGGGAGAAGGAGGGGGGAGGGGGGGGGGGGGGAGAGGGGAAGGGAGGGGGGAGGAGGGGGTGGTGGTGGAGGGGTAGCACATTCAGTTATCAATCCTGCCTCAACATTGTTTTTTTTTTTTTTGGTGGATATAAGTATACTACTCGCATACATACATCCTCAGTCGTAACTGGAGCTAGGAGGGTGTAGAAAGCTACCACTGTAACCCCACCCCCCTTATCCCCTTTATGGTGGCTGAAAGGCTATTCCCCTGTCCTCCCATACTGCCTTAAAACCTGCCCTCCACGTCATCGAGGCCTCCGACTCAAACATCCCACGCATGACATTCGCCTCGTCAGCATCCAAGTGGCCCCATTCCTCTTTCCTCCTCTTCCCGGACTTGTTCGCCGCCCTCTTCCGAGCTCGGCTGTAGATCTTCACGTGCCTTGTAAAACTGACAGCAATTTTCCGCAGGGCCCGTTTTGGCTGGAACCGGCTACCCCTGAAGACCGCATTGCACCTTTCCAACCAAACTTGATGCGCTGTGGTTGAGATTAGCGCCGCCTCCGGAAAACCCGTCGACGTGCATCTCTCCTGGAAGAGCATGTCGCCGAGGGACTCCATCAGCCTGCCCGGTTTCATCCACTGCACCGCCGATTTTATCATTCCAACCGCATGTTGTACTGTTGGGCAGCTGAAAAGGCAGTGATTTTGTGATTCCATGGCTCCGCAGTGTACACATAACGCCCGTGCACCCAAGAAAGGGAGTCTTTCTCCCACTTGGAGGTTGTTGCTGTGTGCCCGTAAGACAATTTCTCTTGCTCTGCTCGGGGTTGAGAGGGAGTCACGGACCCGGATAGCCTTCGTCCAGTCCACCTTCCTCCCCAGCACCTCCTCCCACTGCACCTGTTGCTTCGGCTGGGACGTCAGGGGTTTCATCGCCCTCCGCAGTTGTTTCAGTTCAGCTCGTTCTCCTTTGTCA